GTTGCGTCATAGAAAAATAATTTTTGAGTCAAGGAAGTGACTTTATTAAACCGAGTAAAATTTTACTTGTAACGACGAAAACACCTATGTCATTATGTCGTATTTTCAGTTATCACCAACATAAATACATCTTCATCTGAAAGTATAACCCTCCGTTTTGACAGCTAAAATTCAAATCTGCATTGTTTTGTCCTAATCTGTTACACTAAAATTTTCCAAACATGCAACGAGGAATTCTTTCTGTGCAAGGAAAAGAAAGTTTTTTGTTGTTGTTATTATGAATGCAACTGTTCTCAATGGGATCACTTGTCTCTGAGAAAAGCAAAAGAAAAAAAAACAAAAACAAAAAAAACAAAAAAGTCAAAAACCAAAAAACCAATGAGCCAAAAAAGCAAAAACCAAAAAAAGCAAGAAATTAAAAAATGTCCACCCAGATCAGATCCACGTTAAAAACGAATGTACTGTCATTTAAACCAAATAAAAACTCGTTAGAATCAAGTATCCAATCCGTCTGATTCAAAAAGCTGTTCGCATTGTTACACATAATAAAAATTCCTTTTTACCCGAGTACGGGGGGCCAACTGCAACTGGTCCGTGAAACCGGTAATAATTCACCGCAATCTTCGTTGAATTTTAACAAACCAGAATAAGACACAAAAGGGACTGTTAGTCATTCTGCAGGAGTCACAGTTACTCAGCGACTACCTTCTCATTGTTCAAGTTTCGGAGGAAACATTTAAATTAATGAACGAACCGCCGAACGGACGGGACCTAACGAAATTAAATAATTTATCATCCTGGCTCCGGCTCAAAAGCTTTACGTTAAAAATGAGAATTTCAGATATTTCGATTTAAGTCGCATTCCCTCTTCTTTTCTCAATCAATCTTTTCCAGTCCCACTTTTTCCTGCTCTTCTTTATCTGTTTTTTGGAGGAGAGTGTACATTTTTATTGAAGGTTGGTAAACAGAAACTAAAAATTGCACAAAATCTGAATGAAAAAAAAGATCGAACATTTTTCTCAAGGTAATAAATATGACATCGGTCATCTGCTGTAAATATGTGTATGCAAAATCACAATATTACGCTACAAGTGAAGATGTAAACTGTTTCGAAATTCGATGGTGAAACTTTCAAACCACGTATCTCGGTTTGCGACGTTGCAGGCTTCCTAACATACTTTATTTTAAATGTAAAACTACTCAACGTCAATTCTTGAGAATTTCGGTGATTTTTTTTCACCGTGAGAAGAGAAATCTGTGAAAACTTCAATGAAAAATGTTGATTTGGTGTTCTTAAAAAAAGAAAATGGCAGTGGAGATTTTTAGTCACCGCAAACGAGCTACGTGGTCTGGTAGTTTCACCGTCTAATTGTTCTTATCAGCCGGGAATTATCTTAAAACTTTTTTCTCTCTTCTTCATGAGTCTTTAAAATGAATGAGGAAATTCATTCATTCGGAATGAGCATGGACGTTCTTCCCAAATCATATCGTTTTACGAAGTTTTAATTTAACTAGGGGGCTGCCGCTGCTCCCCTCGCCATTTTGCGCCCCCACCTCCCGGTTTTCGCGCCTTTAATATAAAACAAGAGGAAATTTATTTATCAAATTTTCTGACCAAACTTCATCATTAATCACATTATTCGAATCAATTTCCCCTATTTTTTTTTAAATTTTAATGTCATGTTTTGATGTACATCTTGATAGTGCACCGTAAAGTTGCCCGTTGCTAAAAACGGGTAGATGAATTTAAAGATCGATTTGATCGAAACTTTGACCCTGGGATTTATAGAACGCCGTTGCAAATTCAAAAGAGAGGGAAAACTGGGTTTGATGGAAGACAAGAAGAAAACTAATATTTTTATCAATATCTATTTTGGTAAGAGTGGGGGAAAGCAGGAAGGGGAGGCGTGCTGGAAAAGAAGGAAAGCCTAGATTGTCACATGCTCAGCGTGACATGTACTCTGCTTTACTAAGGAAAAATGCCGTATAAACATTCGAGAGTTGCCAAATTTCCTCCGGTTAAAATATTATTTTTGAGGAAAGTTATGAATATTTCTCCTAGATGTTTTCAGGAACTTTAGGTAAAATTACGAAAAAGATTATCTGAGGAATTTGAAGAAGAATATCTATAAATTCACTAGGAGATTCGAGTTTTATCAAAGGAAATTCGGCAACGCCTGAAGGCCCATACGGCGTTCTTCCTTAGCACTGCAGTATTACCCTCATGATTTTATAATATAGGGTATGATAAGTCCTACATTTAGAAATATTTTACGCCAATGGGAAACAATGGTGCAGAGAGGCACGTTGAATTCTTCTAGAGAGTAATATATTAATCCCCTTGTTCAAAACGTCAAGAAAAAAACAGCTCGTTTTTAAGGGTAACATTTAAAAAAATGAAATTTTTTTTCATAATATGGCAACTTCGAGCCCGTGTTTGCACTGCTGTGAAACAAATGAGTATCAAAGGAGACCCAACATTTTTCTACATGTCCGCCTGTTTTTATTTATTTGTGCCCGAGTGACGGAGTGAGGGTGTGCCGCACCCTTTTCTGCTAGAGTGAGGGGTCATGCCGAGAACAGCAAGGTAGATTCCATTAAGTCGATACTCGAACCCTTCTCCTGTCTCACGCTTTATCTTAATAGTTTTTTAATCCAGACCGAGAAAATTTTACTTTCCCTACAACTCTGGTAATTCTAATATTTTTAAACGGCAAGCATATCTATTTTTGGTTCTGGTTGTGATTGGATTCAGAAGATGAGTATCAATTTGTCGAAAACATCACTTATTTCCGGTTTTCCGGTATCTCATTTCCAAATCAATACTTTGCCAAATAGCTTTTTTAATGATGGAACTTTCAATCGTCAGCCCGAGGCATGTCCATACTTTTTTAGGTGGATCGATGTTTGTGTGCAGAAAGTCAAGGCTAATAATCCCTGTAGAGTCATTCATTTAATAGGCACATTCCTATCAGAAATATTTGTTCACTTTTTATGATACTTCTCTAATACTGTCATCAATTGTCACAGTTGAAACCAATTAAAATCCGCGGAAGGTAACTTGCAAAACCCCAGATGTAACCCCTTTGGCTGCTAACTAATTGGTGCAGGATTATGGCGCGTACTAAAGTCTTATAATTGTAAAAAGTTTCTGAGTAAGCCCATTAAAAATAAAATGAAAAAGCTTCGAAAGTTGCGGCACTTCCTCAATTGAGCGTCAAGTACTCACATATTTGAAACACTGGGTCACTCTGTATGTTTCTCCAATTGGCACGGAAACATAAACTTAAGTAATAATGAAGCTAGGTAAGCTGTAACAGATAAGATAAAATACAAATACGGTCCAGAGAAAGTTTTAATGAAGATTTGCTGGTAAGTTTTTAACTTTAATGCTCTCCACGGATGTCCATTAAATTCCGGCGCGTGTCTGAAGAAGTTTTTATTGTTATTATTATTTTTAACTAAATCTGTTACGTTAGGACATTCATCTCACCAGTGATTAACTGCTTCCGCAGATATCTTTGCGAGTAAGAAAGATGTTGATTTTCATAGGAATTTAATGAAAAACTTGGGAATACAGAAATTACATACAAACTGTACAGTCACACAACTATACAAACTGACGATCTTAATTTAGATCAAATCGGGACATCTTCAAGATGACAGTGATTCCCGATTAGAGTCTCGTGAAAAAATTAGGCACGTGACTTTCTCTTTAAAAATAAATCTGAGCAAATTAAATATTCAAAAATGTATTAGAGCCTGCTTCTGAGCATCAATTTCATATTTTTCCGAAACTGCGACACTGTTGATATAATTATCGGTAAACCATTCAAGACTGAACTTACCGGTTGGAATTACAGATACATTCGTAATTTATTACCTTACCGACAAGATCTAAGTTGTGTTCATGATACAATTATTCTAATTAGAACTTAATTGAGAGTCAGTGAAAATGAATTCACCAACGTATTGGAGTATTTACAGTCATGGACGTCATGGAGTGGATTCAAGACTAAAGCTTACTCTGCATGGTCCACTTGGTAAGGTCTATACTACATATGTATATTTTTACAATTTTTTGATATAAGCTTACAGATAAGCTTCATTAGTATTTTTTTAATTATTTTTTTTTAAAAAGGCTCATTGTGAATATGACTGGATTGCTTGACACTTTTCATTATGACAACATTAAAGTTCAGAGTATTTTTGCATGGAAAAAATCAACACAAATTTAATCGAATCAGTCAAACTGCATTTTACACAATGCCTAATTTTCTCTCGTTCTATTTTTTCAATAGAGAACTAAATAACTAATCGAGTTTGAACTTTCTGTGAATTCACCCTACATTATGAAGAGAATATACTCACAGTTTACAAGTCTCAGTGTTACTTACTTTTCTGTTAAAAAAATAGAAACTTAGAAAATTAGACAGCGTTTGATGTAGTCGGCCCATTGAAAAAAAAGTTCGGGGTTATCCCCTAAAATTGCGGAACTGCCCCAATTTGTTAGATGATACGGACATTTCCCATTTATTGTGGTAGTACCGCTATGTTTCGGTTAGTAACCTAATTCACTGGAGTATTACAACAATCAATTTGGGTACTATCAGAATTAATTAGAAATTTCCACATCATCCAACAGTTAGGGCTTAACCTATAGGCCTTTTTTTCCGTGCCTGCGGGCCGATTATTGAAATCTATAGACAAAGCTACAGACAAAGAAGACATAAGGAGTAAAGAGCGATCCTATTGGTTGAAATGGGTGGTTCTTATAGACTAAGGGGGTAAATGATGGACTAACTATCGGGTCTCTCGTGGGGTGCCGTTATAGTTAGTCCATTACCCACGTCCTTTGTCCATTGCGACCACCCGCTTTTACCGATAGGATCCCTCCATATCCCTTTTGTCTTCTTTGTCTAGCTTTGTCTATCAATTGGACGCATTTCTGTCAAACGAAACTATGTGCATTAAGAAGTGAGCCCTGGTATGCATGTATTCCTATGGGTCTCAGGGCTCCTGTCTTAATGCACATAGGTCTGTTTGATAGAAATACGTCCAATTTCAATAATCAGCCCGCTGATTCCATCATTCCATCGATCTCTGTCCGTTTGAAGGGCGGGCTGGCGGGCTGCGGGCTCTAGGCCGGGGCTGCCGCGGCGGCAGCGGGGGTGGTAGCCTCGGTGCTAGCGGGGGTGGCGGTGGTAGTGGTGGCGTTCTCGGGGCCCTTGTAGAAGGCGGCGAGCTCTTGGACGGCGGTGGCGACGACGTCCTCGGAGCAGGGGTTCATGTCCCAGAAGGCGCCGTAGCAGCCGAGCATCTCGAAGCAGGGGTAGCGGACGTGGTAGTTGAAGGGGGCGCAGCAGGAGGCGATGGCGAGGGCGCACCTGGCCGGGCCGGGGGCGTCCGAGTTGCTCAGGAACTTGAGGCCGACGTCCTGCGGGGGCGCCGTCCCGTTGGGCTCCGTCCCGTTGGAGCAGGTCCGCGGCTGCACCACCATGAACAGCTCGTACGGGTACTGCTGGAACCCGTAGCCGAAGTTCGAGGGTCGGCGCGGTGGCGAGAGAGGGGTCAGCGGGTTCGAGTAGAAGAACGGGTCGATCGCTGATGGCCCGATGAACCTATCCATCGGCAAAAAACAAGAACAAATTAACGAGTGATCATTCGCGGATCCAGCAAACGGGCAAACTTGCTTTTTCTCCATCTAAACCTGTGGAACTATATCGATTGAAGGGCCCAGGTGCTCCGACAAAAATCGATTATTAAACACAGGTTTAGACAGAGGAAATCCATTGTTGCCAAATTGCTGGATCCGCCCCTGCGAGTGATTCAGTGACCGTGAAATTAACGGATTCATGCTAAAAGGAAAATGTGAAAATGAGTCAAATCGAGAGGAGCAATGGATCTGCGGGCGATTGCTGAAATTGGTAGTCAAATCGATAGACAAAAAAGACAAAAAGGTTATGGAGGGATCCTATTGGTGGAAGCGGGTGGTTGCAATGGTCAGAGGAGGTAGGTAGGAGACTAACTATCGACAACCCATAAGAGACCCTTTAGTTATAGTAGAACCCATTTCAAGCAATAGGATCACTCCATACTTCTTATGCCTTCTTTTTCTATAGTTTTGTCCATCAATTTCAACAATCAGCCTGCTGTTGCACGAAAGAGATAAAGCCGTGTGGATAGGCTTTATTGGTGTGTTATCTGTGTAAATCCGATAGTGTTATCTTAATTTTGGTAACGTTGGGGAATACAGTTTTGACTCATTTAAAATTATTCAGCACAATATTCAATGTCTAAAAATGGAACCTTTGGGCTCTTGTGGCGTCAGCCTCAGCGTCCTTAGATTCCTTTTTGTCCTCTTCACCGGGCGGGATGGAAGTTTTTGGCGGGGAAACCTCGCCCGGAGGAACGAATCCTTTCGATGATGGGTTCAGGAACCAAGACCACGGCGAGGGGTCCTCTCCATCTTTGGGCATCGGGGGAGGAACGAATGGGTTTTCCAGGTCCTCCTCACTTGGTTCCATGAACGAAAATGGGTTTTTCTTGTGGAATTGGTCAGTTTTGAACAATTTCGTCGGTTTCTTCGTGGGTTTCGGCTCGAAATCCTCCATAGCGTCTACCAAGATGACAAACATCGATACCGATAGTATCGACGCCAGAAGCGCCGCACTGTTGGACTGCATTCTGAAACAAAAAATTATACGTCCTCTTAATGATTTTTCACTTTAGAACCCTTTTAAGATGATACATTCTCATGCACCAATAATGCATTCGGTAAAGCTATATACGGGACCAATATTTACAATACGATGTGGGCAACACTATAAAACACTGAGCGACTTGATTTTACGTTGTTTTCGAAAAGAAAGTCGAAGTTTTTCGGATCCTTTTTATCAAAAAAGACTAGGAAATTAAGCTGGACTTGAGGTTTTTTGGCTCTTAATTTTCCTTTAACTGGAAGGCAGATTTTTTACTTTCATGCAGGAAAAAAATTCCTGCCCCCCAAAAAAGAAAGAAATTGGTTTTAGTATAGTAAGTGTAGTATTAGCAGTGGTAGTAGTGGTAATAATAGTAGTGATAGTAGTAGTTGTAGAAGTAGTAGTAGTAGTAGTAGTAGTAGTAGTAGTAGTAGTAGTAGCAGTAGCAGTAGTAATAATACTACCATACTACTGGTAGTGGTATTTTTCCATTTGAAGGGGTGTCTTTAGCAGCTACAAATAGGTATATCAATACATCATATATATCTTATCATTTGCTTAATTTTATTCTTTATCTTAGTCATGTTAAACTTGTTACTAGTTTCAATAATAGTTGTGTCAATTAAAATTGCTAAACGCATTCTAACGCTGCAATTAAGGTACAGGGCTTCTTACAAAAGACAGAGAGAAAGATAAAATGAAAAAAATATAATTTTTAGATTACACAATGTCTGCTGGAATAATACAGAGGGCAAGCAAATATAAAAGAAAGAACTAAAATGAACGACTTTAAAAGAATATGGTGTAAAATTCAAACTTATTTTTAACGTAAACGAATAAGAGCGCATTTAAAAGAACCATAAAAAGTATGAATTTACATTACCATACGGTTGCAACGCTCAACATTATTTTTTAAATAATTATCAAAAAAATATGTGTAAATTTTTTTAAATGCATACATTTTAAAGAGGAAATCAGCCCATTTTATTGAGCCTCTGCAAGTTACACATGATGTCGCTGAGAGAGGCAGCCGGTGAGCCACAACATTCTGCAGGGCAGAAGACCTCAAAATAAAAACCGATTAACTTCGGAGTCATGTTTTTCATCACAAACAAATATGAGCACACTGTCGGCGAAATGAAATACCCTGAGTAAAAATCCGAACTCTCCGAAATGAACTTCGCAAATTCGCGGACGAAAGACTGCGGCCAATTTCTTTGTTTCTCTTCAAGCGAAAAAAAAAGAAAGAAACAACGTCAACCGAAATATTCAGGTTTCAACCCCGCGATCCCGAGACAGCCCGGGAACAATTCCCCACCAAAGATGTGTTTATATGAGTGAAAATGAAAATGCCCCATCTCGGACTCGACGTTTTTCGGGTTACTTGAGAGCGCTGTTGCCGATTCGTCGGTGAAATTCCTTCTTGAAGTAGATTTAAACGTGAAACTTTATTATTTTCCGACCAATTAGGCGGCGGCAAGAGTCGTGGAACGTTCTGGGGGCGCAAATTGAAACAAAGAGTCAGCGAGGTTGCGCGCAGAATGGGAAGTTGCAACGTGGACCCTGTGTAAATGTGTCAGTTGACCTACTATTCAAAATATGAGCTTGAAGAGGACAATTGAACACATCTGTACGCTCGTTATATTCTCCTTTGCCAAATTTAAATCCTCCACTCGGAAGTTTCTTCCGGGTAGGATATGTGTAAACACGCCTCATGTCACCGACAAAAATTTCCGGTGCCTCATTCCATTAACTAAAAATTATTTTTGGTGTCCAAACGAAAGTAAATGACGTCTGCATTACATGAGCATTAGATAGTTAGATGACATTTGTGGAGCATGTCGGCGATTAGTTTTTATGAGTTCACAGCGGGTCCCATAGAGTTTCACACAAGAAATAGAGTTAGGAAACTGACTTATTCCAAGGCAAATCCAGATTTTCAATAATGATTACTCTTTTTTTAGTCGCAAAACGGTCTGTTTCGAATTTTCTTCCACTCTTTCCGATCCAGGACTAATTTGCTCATCGTTGAAAAAAGCAGTGATTACCACCTTTTGAATCCTTCAATCCAAACAGGGTCATTCGATTTATTCCGATTTACCAATTTAAAGTCTGCAATTTTCAACGAAGGACACCCCCCCCCCCCCCCCNTAATTTAAACATTTTTTACATGGAATTAAAGGAGAGATACCGACTTGCTAAATCGAAAACTTTCTGTTAATTTTTTACGAATTTAAGTTGACAAACACGAAGTAACGGAACGTGGATGACATCGCTTGGATACAACTAAACCTGCTCATGGGATATCCTTATTGCGTCGAAAGAAATGAAGGCGCTCTGACTTTCCTTACAGTACAGCGGTGCTGCGAATGCATATATAGTAGCCTTATAATCATGGTAATTTTTTCAATTTAGACGAATAGTAGGAGTTAATTCTCGACTTTGTTGGATGTATTTATGAAACAAATCTCAGCAAAAAATCCAGTCATGTCAACAGTGACTCCAGCCAAATGATATAAGGAAAGCCTATAAAAGGCAACCGTTCCTTGCCATATCCTAAGGGAATGAGATATCATTTTAATGAAAAAAGGAAGTTTTGAAAGCCCTTTTTCAATTTTTAAAATAAAAGAATCCATAAAATATAACTCATCCTTATTGTTTCCTAAAAAATCAATTTCAGCTGCAGAACTCTATATTTTTAAATTTCTTTCTTCTCCCTTCCTTACTCATTTCAACTGCGCCAACTTTCCCAATTGTGTGGTGTTTTAGGTTGAAGTTTTAAAGCACCCTCAACACCCATGCCCTTGACCATCTTGACACCATGACTCGAGTTAGGAAATTTCCCTTGGGAGAAGTAGGATCATATCCTCTCTGAAGAGTCTGAAGTTGAACAGCTATATCCGGTTATAGTTTTTCATGGGAACGTAGACCCTTGGAGCTTCTCCTAATACGCCCATGTCTCTTGTGCGCAAATAAAGAAATCTGGTCGATAACATTTCAGGAATGCACGATAATTTGTACTGCGCAGAGTCTCACATATGAAGGGCTTGGAGGACAAGGCGCATAAGTGCAGTTTTTGCTATTTCAAAGAATACGTGTTTGAAGTTTCGAAATTACATAGATCATCTTTATGGCGGAAAGAGAGTTCACACTGACTTTTTGATACTTAAAAATTCGGATTTAGGAGCGAATTTTCCATAGAACGTGCATTTAGACTAGTTGCATTTGATATCATTAATATCTCAATTTTTTCAAGAACTGCACTTATGCGCCTTATTGTCCTCCAAGCCCCTCATATGTAGTAAAACTTTTTTGAGAAGTCTTACCATAAAACTCGATTCGTCTCCGCAGTGATGTGGACAAGGGAGGGGGGGGGGGGGCCAGGGGCCCCCCCCCCCCTTAGCCTTGTTAATTCTACCTTTTTTTTACTTATGGAGGGTTTGGAGGTCAGACATAAACTATTATCAGGGGCGTACACAAAATAATGTAAATTTACCGTCATGGACCCCCGACACCCTTCCCTTTAAAGGATTCCTAGCTGTGCCACTGCGTCTCCGTATTTATTTTTTTACCAAGACAGAATTTCTGGCAACAGCGTACTACTTGGGGAGGCTCATTTATGCGTCACATACTTTACCCTCGACCTTTACGTCGCCCCACCCCTATTTTTCATGCTTGTTTGTCCCCTTGTATTTTTTCCGTTTTGTTTCTCAAAAACAGAGAAAGGGCATTCAGAGCGCAGACGGACATCGAAGCTGTGTCTAAAAAATACGCAGGTATTCTTTATGTTGTAAAAAAGTTCGTGTGAGGCGCAGAGCGCTGCGTCGGAACTAAGGCAAACCACTCCATTCTGTGGTTTATCTGCTCGGGGTTTATTTGAACAAATGATTTATTGTCCTCGATGGCGGAGGACGTGCTAAACTTTCGCTTCAGCTCAAGTTATACTCCCTTGTTTAGTTTCATGCAGGGACGGAGCCTTTGCTTTTTTACGCTCGAATCAACCTGATATTTCGTCTGGTGTTCCTCGAGAAAAAAGTGTATTCTGAAATATACCAAGAAAACAATATAACTAACGATTGCGCCGTTCTTTCAAGTTCCCTTTCAAAAGGAACAACATGACGGGTATGAAAATAGGTGCTAGAAAATCTTCTGGAATTTTCAAATTAAAATGATCATCTTAAAAAAAAATTAAAAAAAAAAAAAAAAAAAAAAAAGTTTACGCAGATGATAATCAATTTATTAAACCACGTTCCTGAGCCTACGACGTCCAAAATTCCTGTCAGATGTTACATTTCTCTAGGATGACTAATTTAGTGAGCAAAATTAAGTTCATAATTGTTTGCATATTTTCCAAAGTATTCTCTCGATTTTTTCACCCACACGCTCGGTAATAGTATCCTATAATAGAAGAAAGAAGCAGCGAATATTTTTAATTATCAAAATCAAGAAACACGCATTCAAAACTACCTTCGATATTGATCACAATGTTTCATAATGCCGTAACAGATATCATGGTATATCGTCCTATTGACCAATTAATTGAGCTACGATACTGAGTAGAATGAACCGATTTGCAGAATGAACCCTCTTAGGCAGTACTTGATTTCCCATTTTCAAAATGACAGTGAAAGGAATTTTTCAACGTTGAGGCGTGATATGTATGAGTTTTTCTAATCATAAAACAGATGCGCTAATTATAATCGATCAGCATTTTCGCTATAGGCATAATCAGAACTTGAAAAGTAATTTAGATGAACACATCCCGTCTAAAAGTGCCAAAATTTTCTGACTTTGTAGCGTGATATTGAGGAGTAGATCAAACCGCAATGATTGCAGAAGTAGTAGAATCATGGTGGAAACTTAATTGTCAAATTTTGTAAAATTCAATTTCAAATTGGACGCTTGAATAAAACAGTCTGTAGTTAAGCAATTGAAAAATAGCATTTCGCATCGAGACTTACAATAACACTGCAATCGCACAACCCT